TCTCCAGATGTGAACCCAGAACCTCTTCTGTGAGTCATCCTTACAGAGTATTGCATTACCACTGCTTACCTATCTAGTCTTGGAGGAACAGAATTTTTGATAGTAATATCAGGCATTTAGTTTGGAATATAATAGTTTGGAAGTTTCTATGCGATATTCAAAGGAAGAAAATGTATAAACAGTTTGATATATAAGTCTGGAGGGGAGAGCAGAGGACTAGAGAAATATTTGTTGGTCACTAGTACATAGGTGAACTTTAAAGCGATGAAATAGTCTTAAATATAGTATAAATATACTATATTTAAATATATTAAATATTAAACATCAAGCAGGCATATGTAGGTAAAGAAGTCCAAGGACACAGATCAGGATCATTTCAATTAAAAAAAAAAAATTCAGGGAGCAAATATATTGCCAGAAAAAGAGACCAAGGAGGGAAAATAGTAGGGTTTGAGGAAAACAAAGTGAATGTGATACTCTGGAAACCTACGAAAAAGCGATCTCAGAAGACTAGAGGATGCTGAGAGATGAAATAAGAACTGAGATTGAGATTTGAACTTAGTAATGTTGACATGAATAGCAACTTCAAATATGAGTAGGTTCAATGGAGAAATGGAGTTAAAAGCCTAAATACAATAGGTTTAGGAAATAAGGAGAAGAGAAAAAATAGAGACTGTGATTGAGGACTACGCTTTGTAGAGTAGATTGGAGAGTATGTCATAAAGAGGAAAAGATAAATGAAAGAAGTACTTGGAGAGCAAATTAGGGTTAATATAAATTATTTAAAAATTAAGATTGGAGATCAGATGATGGTATACTGTTGGCACAGCTGGTCCCTATGATATGTTAGTTGTTCCATTAACTTTATTTTACAGACATTTACAGGGAGGGGACTTGGGTTTGCATCCTAAGATCTCTCTGAGCATACAGGGCATGGGCACCCATGTTCATTATCTGGCCAGCTGACACTGAGGGTGAACTGTGGCAATGAAAATCTTGTAAGTGCCTCTCTCTATGTGTCTCTTTCTGTCTGTCTGCCTCTCTCTCATGGAAGAAACAAATAAATGCATTTTAAAAAATTAAGATTGGTGAGATGACAGGATCCCATAGGATAAAAGTATGATTTAGTGGACAGGGAGATAATAAAAGATGGAAAAAAGGTAATCCAAGAAAAGGCAGTGTAAATCTGTATTAAGTAGGTATAAAAGCTATACTTGGGTAAATGTGGTGGCAGGAATTCTGAATTCTTCTTAGTGCTTTTTCAGTGAAATAGACATCAAGATCATTAATTAAGAAAGGATGGTATAGGTTCTATCATTGGTCTGAAAAATAAAGTATAAAATTGTCATTTAATAATTTGAGAAAGTAAACACACCAGAAAATTATAGAATGATTGCTAGGTGTCAAATATTCATTTGAAATTGGCTGTCTTGAATGTAAAGTAAGTCACATCAACATGTGATGTGTTTTCCTCCTAGTTCATTCATTACTGATAGGGAACAGGTAGAGAGTTGGATATAACTAGATCTGTGACTTCATCAAATGAGCACAATGAAATGACAGTGGGGCAGAGAGTTAAACAGATATAGTAATACAATGGGAAAATTGCAGTTAGTTACCACTGAAATTTAGCTAATTAAAGGAGGAATAAAGAATGTACAGAATTTAATGAGAGACACTAAAAAGTCCTGCAATCAATGAATTGGATATACTACTCAAATCTTTGGTGGAGTTGGGGAACAAAAGGAAAAGCTTTGAGAAGATAAAAGGTTTTAGTCACTGAGACTAGCAGGTGGCATGGCAGTTAAAGCACCAGGTTCAAGGTCTATACCTGGCAGCTTGAAAAATACTATGCATGCTCAAAATTCTGAGAGGAGAATGGAGGAGAAGGGATTGTGACATGGCCATCCCCTTGAAGATAATTTCTTTTTTTTTTTTTTTTTTAGAGACATTTTCGCTATAGGGTGCGTGTGCTTGCCAGACAGAAAGAGAGAGACAGAGAGACAGAAAGTGAGAAATCACCCCCCAGGGGGGATGGTCATGCCGCAATCCCTTCTCCTCCATTCTCCTCTCGGGATCTTGGGCACGCATGCACATGCGCCCAGCATGAGTTTTAAGCCACTGGGTCCGTGACGCGAACCGCAGTCGACTACGTGGGAGTCCAGCGACATAGCCATTATGCTAACTGCTGGTTCCCTGAAGATAATCTCTTAATTTTCCTCTCTCTCTGGTGAGTACACATGCCCTACAACAAAACTTACAAAAATAAGTAAGTAAATAAATAACTAAAGGTTGTAATCAGAAGTAATGGGGTGCATAAAAGTAAATTTAGAGAGAAATTATAGTTTACGATGATGCCCAAATCTAGGGTGAAACCATTTGTCCAGATTTATTGCAAGGCTAGATGATTAGAGGAGAGGCCTGGGTATTGAAAGGATCATCTATGTAAATATTAAGGATCACTAAAAAGTAAGTTAGGAATTGTAATGGTCAGAGTGTCAGTGATCCAGAAGCTAAATTTATAAATCAGAGGAAGATACAATCTCACATCTCTGTAATAGCCATCTTTTTATCACTGGCCTACTAGTAAATCCTCATCTAAATCTCCTCAGTTACAGCACTCACTTTAGAACTTTCTACCAATAAATAAATATCTTTTTCTCATGAAATCTTGTTTGCATTAAGATACATTTTTTTTCTACTTCACTAGATGCTAATTTTATTTTTTAAAGTTTGTTTACTTATCTTTTCCATGATAAAGAAAAAGGAAGAAAGTCATTCCCAACAGGATCTTCATTCCACTATCTAACCCCTGCCTTGGCCAGCATGGATCATGGGCACGCACAACCAGTGTATACAGAGAACCAAGGACAGTCCCAAGTGGCTCTAGTTGTTCGTGTTGTACCACTGTCTGGTCCTGGTTTATAGACTAATTTAAACAGATGTTGGAAAGAATGAATCAATTATGTAAGCCTTTTCATAGTACTTGTTTACTATTTTTTTCCTTTTATTACATTCTTATCTAAATCGCAGACTCCAATCTACTATTCTATATAAACAATTCATTACTGCTGCAAAATAATGTACTTTCAAATACATGCACTACGTTAAAGTCTAGATTGTGTTGTACTGTTAATTATTCTACTAGAAAACATCAGAATATTAAACAGAACTATTAACTGAAGATGTAAAAAATAATCCAATGGGAGGCAGAATGAGAAATGATAAAAAATCAAATATGGATAATTTATTTAATCTGATATATTTGGCAGTAAATTAATTTCAGAAAAATAATGATCCTTTATAAAATTCACATAGAAATTACAGTTCAATAGTTTTACTGAATTTATTTTTTCATTCAGATGTGAGCTCTAGTACTGCAAAGGGATTTATGTTAATGGAAGATATTCACATATAAAGAAATACATGAAGCATGCATATCTTTGTGCTATAGTAGTTCATAAAGTATCTGATGATAATACATAGGGTCACTCTGATCCACGGAACTTTATAAAGCTATAGAAAAGTCAACATTCCCCCCCTCCCAAGTATTTTTAAAAAACTGCCAATACTGTCCCCATAGCTGTAACTTGGCATTATCATTCCTACCCATTCCATTCCCTGAACTGGCCCTTTGTTGAAATTTCTTCATGAAATCTTGAATGCCTAATGATAAAACTCATGTGAATGTTTAAAGATACCCTTGGGATATTGTTTTATCATGTAATATCCACCGAAAGACTCTAATAATATCTAATGCTCACTGAAGTATGCTTCCAGTCTGCTGAAGCGGGAATCTTTCTTAACCTCCAAATTTGTGTTTACTTTAGTAAGTTTCAGAGCAATACTTGTACTTGAGTCCTTAGAATTCCATAAGAACTTTAGTATATTTAGTTTTAATTTGCCAGAGGGGGCATATTTTCACCAGAGAGAGAGAGACAGAAAGAAAAAGTGAAAGATAGAAATCACCACCTCCTCCATGAGGATTGGTCCCATCGCAATCCCTTCTCCTCCAATTCTTCATCCTGTCGGAATTTAGAGCATGCAGGCATACATGAATGGATGCCTTTTGAAGCTACCACAGCCAGGATTTGAACCATGTGGTCAGCCATGTAGAATCTAGTTCCCTCAACTACTAGGTCATGAGGCTGATCCTATGATTTTTTTTAGAAATAAAATAGTTCTTTTAGGGTTTTTTTCCCCCATTGGTTTTAGCTGTGAAGACAAAAAGACTGAGCCAAAGATTTATTGGGATGCCAGACATAACTCTACTTTCATACATTCTTATATTTAAGAAACAGATAAAATCTTCTCAAACTCTCTCTCCCCTTAGGAGAAGTGTATTTTGCCAAGAGGTTACTTGGTTCCTTATGAATATAAATCTCTATATAACAAAATTACACCAAAGACCTTCTGTGTGCTTAGTCTTATCTGGATCCTAGGAAAAATACATTGTGATAAAGCTCTAAACTCTATTATATACTGAAAAATCTAGTAAACTGTCTGGGGTATATATATTTTTCTAATATTATCTATATTTATATACTATTTCCCAATTAGATTTTTTTCCCCAGAATCCAAATTTGGATTCACTCTATGAAAATATTCCAAATAGTACAGAATTTAAGACAGAGTAGTTTGGATTAGCCATGGAAAATTTACATTGACACTGATCTTTATATTTTTTTTAAATCTTCAAATATATCCAAAAGCTCTTTTACTAGAAGAGTCTCCCAGTTTTCTGTTATTATACTGAACATGACTGAGGGCAAAATAAGTTATAGTTTAAGCTTCTGAAAGCAATATCATTCTTTACAGAGCAACAAAGACATAATCCTAAATAGAATAGCCAAATATCTAAGAGTCTCTGAAGCATGAGACGTACACAGTTCATTTTTGCATAAAAATCCAGGATAGCACAAATATGATTAAATAAAAAGACTTACAGAGAGATCATAAAAATCCTGAGGTTTGACCTACCCGTTAATCAGGGCACTTACCAGATATCTCCTCTAGGCACTGCTTAGCCGTCTTACTATATGATAAATCCATTTTAGTAGGACTGGTACATGAGTCAGCAGATGGCAAAGAGGTCCCTTCATTCTCTGAATGTGCTCTGAAATGAACCAAAAAGACAGAAGCAAACAGCAATTGAAGTTACCAATGACTCAACAAAGTGGAATTTATCTAGTCCAAGAAGAAATAAATTTAAGTGTTCACTGAGGTAATTGTTTCTTTGTAGTTGGGATGTTCTAGAACTGTATATTTATAGAAGTCTGTTAATTTTCATATATAATCCAAGTGGGAATGCCATATTAAATCTCATTTCTTAGACTTTTCTAAATTTGAAAGTTTTTAACAACCAATAGTTGATTATATTTTGCAGGGCCAAAAATTTTGATAAAGATCCAACTTGTCTTGCTGTTCCAGAGAAAATCTGGCCAAATTATGTTCTTGAGAGAATCACAAAAGCATTGAAACCACACCTAATTTTTTTTCCATGAAATTCCTACAAGATATATTCTAAAGTACAAAGTTTGAGTAAAAACAGTAAATTTGTTCTGAGCTATACACATCATTATTATGGCTTCATTACCATGGATTTCAGAAAAATTAAGATCAATCTTTGGTATTACTAAGTTTTAAATTATTTGTTTTATATTTATTTACTTGTGATTAATATGTAAAGAATAGGTCTAATTAAACCAAACAAAAAGTTCTCAACAAGGGAATGTATACTTTTATACTCCAAACTTCATGCATTGTTTCTTCATTTTATGCACAAGGAAACATTATAAGATGCTTTCTTTCTTGATGCAATTTGAGAGTCTACATATCTTTGACCCAAATCATTAAAAAAAAAATTACAGTGTAGGGACCAGCAGTTGGTGTAATGGCTATGACACTGGACTCCCATGTAGTTGACCACGGTTTGAGTCTCAGACCCGGTGGCTTAAACTCACACCAGGTGTGCGTGCATGCGTGCCCAAGATCCTGAGGGGAGAATGGAGAAGGGATTGCTGCATGGCCATCCCGGG